TGTGTGCATGTGAGTCATGTGTGTGTGATGTTGTGTGCTGAGTACATGTGTGTGTGATTGTGCATGTGTGTGTGTGATGTGTGTGATGTCATGTGTGTGATTGTGCATGTGTGTGATTGTATGTGTTGTCATGTGTGTGATTGTGCATGTGTGATGTGCATGTGTGTGATTGTGCATGTGTGTGATTGTGCATGTGTGTGATGTACATGTGTGTGTGTGCATGTGTGCATGTGTGTGATTGTGCATGTGTGTGATTGTCATGTGTGTGATTGTGCATGTGTGTGATTGTGCATGTGTGTGATTGTGCATGGTTGATGTATGTGTGTGAGTCATGTGTGTGTGTGCATGTGTGTGTGGATTGTGCATGTGTGTGATTGTGCATGTGGTCATGTGTGTGATTGTACATGTGTGTGTGATTGTGCATGTGTGTGATTGTGCATGTGTGTGTGTGTAATGTGTGTGTTGTGAGTTGTGATGTGTGTATGTGTGTGATTGTACAGTGGTGTGTGCTGTGTGTGATGTGATGTGTGTGTGTGTGTACATGTGTGTGTTGTGATGTATGTGTGTGATTGTATTTGTGTGATTGTACATGTGTGTGTGTGCTGTGTATGTGTGATGTGTGTGATTGTGCATGTGTGTTTGTGAGGTGTGATTGTGATAATGTGTGATGTGTATGTTGTGTGATTGTACATGTGTGTATGTGTGCATGTGTGTGATTGTGTATGTGTGTGTGTGTATGTGTGCGATTGTGATGTGTGTGATTGTGCATGTGTGTGATTGTACATGTGTGTGTGCGTGTGTGTTTGTGTATGTCTGTGTGATTCATGTGTGTGATTGTGCAGTGTGTGATTGTAATGTGTGTGATTGTATTTGTGTGATTGTACATGTGTGTGTGTGTATGTGTGCGTTGTGTGTGTGTATGTGTGTGTGATTGTACATGTGTGTGATTGTGAGGTATGTATAATGTATGTGTATTTGTGTGATTGTACATGTGTGTGTGCGTGTGTGTTTGTATGTGTGTGTGTACGTGTGTGTTTGTGAGGTATGTATAATGTATGTGTATTTGTGTGATTGTACATGTGTGTGTGGGGGGGGGGTATGTATGTGAGTGTGTGTACTTGTGTGTGTATATGTATATGTGGGGGTTTGTATGTGTGTGAACGTGTGTGTTTATGGGGTATGTATTATGTACGGGTATTTGTGTGATTGTACGTGTGTGTGTGTGTGGGGGGGTATGTATGTATGTATGTGTGAGTGTGTGTACTTGTGTGTGTGTGTGTGTGGGGGTATGTATGTATGTATGTGGGAGTGTGTGTACGTGTGTGTGTGTGTGGGGGTATGTATGTATGTATGTGTGAGTGTGTGTACGTGTGTGTGTGTGTGGGGGTATGTATGTATGTATGTGTGAGTGTGTGTACGTGTGTGTGTGGGGGTATATATGTATGTATGTGTGAGTGTGTGCACTTGTTTTCAACTCCTGGTGGGTTCCATAACCTGAGATTCCACTCACGTCATGGGGACTGGTTTTACGTGGTGGGGCCCGAACACCGGACCCCACTGGTCCAAGCTTAATAATCAATGGGTAATGCTTTTCTAACGGTCCTTATGCAGTCTCTGTAAAAATATGGAAAGGACCCCTGGAGGTTTACTTTCCTGAAAAAAGTGTGTTATGTGTCGGAACCCTGGTGGTGGGTTGCGGGATATCAAGGAGGGGCACACTGGGGCAATTTCAGTCCAGCAGGCTGGAGCCAATCATGGAGCAGCACAACAGAGGAAATCAGGTGTCAGGCTAGAAAAAGGTGCAAGTGTGTGGTTCATTAGGCTGCAAGAAATCATGGAGGAGCACACTGAAGCGCACGCTTACAAACCACTGGTAAGTGCTGACTACAAGTCATGACTTCAAATTGTTATATAGAATGATTACAAATTATTTGTTGTTTGTGCAGCTTAGTCAAGAGTCCCTAATTGATGAAGTCGACTCAGATTCTGACGATTTAACTGTCAAGAAGAAACCTGTAAAAAAGTATGGAAAAAGAAAAATCAAAAACACTTTTCTTCAAGACTCGGAAAGTGACGAACCAAAGGCAAATAAGATTGTTATCATGCAGCTGCAAAAGAAGAAAAATGGGGGGCGAGTATACAGCAAGAGACACTTCTGCCTCTACTGTTCAATGTCCTGCCACAAAATGTCCCGTCATTTGACTAGAAAACATGGAAATGAAAGTGACGTAGCCAGAGCATTGGCTCTACCTGTGAAATCTAAAGCACGTAAACTTCAGTTTGATTTGATCAGGAATAGTGGAAACCGTGAGCACAATTTTGAGGTTTTAAAGGCCGGCATTGGAACTTTAGTCCCAGCTAAACAGCCAAATTCCCCAGTTAAATCCAGTGAGTTTTTGCACTGTATAGACTGTGGGGCATTGCTTAAGCGAAAGTCGCTGTGGAGGCATGTGGCCAGGTGCCGGCTTTCACAGAAAGATGCCCAGGCTAAACCAGGTAGAAGTAGGGTCCAGTCCCTCTGCTCCCTAGCCCAGCCTGTACCGGAGGGCATCAGCAAAAAGCTGTGGTCTTTAATTTCGGCAATGCATCAGGATGAGGTCACGGGTGTTGTCAAAGCAGAAAAGGGGATTCTGAGACTCGGAGAGCACCTGTACTTAAAACACGGGCATGATAAGACAAAGCATGATTACATTAGGCAGAAAATGAGAGAAGTCGGTAGGTTAATTAACGAAGCAAAAACCGCAGGGAAACTGAAAACAATTAAGGATTTCTTTATTCCTTCCAACTTTAACCATGTGATTGATGCAGTCAGGTCTGTGGCTGGATATGATGAGGAAACAAATCAATACAAGACTCCATCCTTGGCCCTCAAACTCGGCCATAGCCTCAGAAAGATAGCAGATATTCTTGAATGTGACTCAAAAATGGAGCATTGTGTTGATGAACTATTTATTAAAAACCTCCAACGAAGCCGGCTGCTTTTTGAGAAGAGGTGGGACGTCTGTGTTTCTTCTGCTGCCCTACAGACCCTCCGGCAAGCCAAGTGGAACACTCCGGACCTGCTCCCTCTGACTGAGGACGTTAGAGCCATGCATGCACATATTGAGGTATGTCGACCTGAATATGTGCAAACCCTAATAAGTGAGCCAACGTCTAAGCATTGGTCTAAACTGGCAGTTTTGACTCTTTGTGAGGTCATCATTTTCAATCGAAGAAGGGAAGGTGAGGTTTCAAAGATGCCACTGACAGCCTTTACCTTAAGAAGTAAGACTGGGATCCATTCTGACATTGCTCTGGGACTGTCCCAACTTGAGAAAAAGCTGTGTCAGCATTTTCAACGCATTGAAATTAAAGGGAAAAGAAGTCGGAAAGTGCCGGTTCTTTTGACTCCTGAAATGATTGCTTCGATGGAGGTGCTGGTGGAGAACAGAAGGGCCTGTTCCATCTCTGACCATAACCCATACTTCTTTTCCCGCCCGGGCGCAGACACCCACATCAGGGGATCAGACTCCCTACGCCAGGTAGCCAAAGAATGTGGTGCGGTGCATCCAGAGATGCTATCCTCAACCAAACTTAGAAAGCACATAGCTACTATGTCTACAGTTCTCAATATGAAAGAGAATGAGATGGACATACTTGCCAACTTCCTCGGCCATGACATTCGCATCCACAGGCAATATTACAGACTACCAGAGGGGACACTGGAGCTGGCCAAAATCAGCAAAGTGTTAATGGCCATGGAGCAGGGAAGAGTGACGGAATTCGAAGGAAAGAGCCTCGACCAGATACAAATTGAGCCTGAAGGTAATTCTTGATATTATTAAAATATGTATGATTTTTTTCCCCTAAAGGCCACTTGTATTTTTATTTTCTGTGCGACAGGGAGAGCAGTAGAGATCCTCTCACAAACGGACGGGCTAAAAGAAACTTCAAGCGGAGAACCTTCAACCATTCATCCAGATGCACCCCATGGTAGTGGCAGTGCCCCTTCTGGTAAGTGTACCAGGTGGGGGATTACAGCCAGGCTGCTTGGTCCTCACCCTGGGAGTGTATATCGCTAATATATTTTTATTTCTCTCCCTAGAACGTGTAAGAAAGCCATGGTCTGCATCTGAGGTGAAGGCTGTGGAGAAGACCATGACACCTTTCATACAGACTGGAAAGGTCCCTGGGAAGTCTCACTGCCTGGCCTGCATTAATGCCTCACCAGATGACCTTAGACATCGGACATGGAGTGGCATTAAATTCTATGTCAAAAATAGAATCACTGCAATTCGAAAACAAAATCTAAAATAAAATTCCTTTAAAATAGTTGTTTGGTTTCTATTGACTGTTTTGTATTACTTAAAGTCTTGGTAAAAAAAGATTATGTCTATGGGTCCCATTCTGAACGGCCCTGTCAAAGGGACCCACCAGGTAACAAAAACGTGTATGTGTGTACTTGTGTGTGTGTGTGTGTGGGGGTATGTATGTATGTATGTGTGAGTGTGTGTACTTGTGTGTGTGTGTGTGTGGGGGTATGTATGTATGTATGTGGGAGTGTGTGTACGTGTGTGTGTGTGTGGGGGGGGGGTATGTATGTGGGAGTGTGTGTACGTGTGTGTGTGGGGGTATGTATGTATGTGTGAGTGTGTGTACTTGTGTGTGTCTGTACCAATGCGTATGTTTTAGTGTGTTTGTGGGTTTATGTGTACGTGTGTGTGGGGGGGGTATGTGTGTGTGTGTACTTGTGGGGGTATGTACGTGTGTGTGTGAGTGTGTGCACGCGTGTGTGTGTACGTAGTAATACCATCAATACTGCCATTATACTCCGGCCGTGTCAAGGAAAAAGAGCCCATTGTGTGTTTCACTTCAGTGTCGTTAAACGTGACGCTGAAACCACTTCATGCGTCACTCGGGAGGATTTCTCATGTTACAGCATCAGTCCCAGACCTGGAGTTGTTTTTAGCTCAATCCATGCCATATACATTGATTAAATGAATAAATTGTAAATGCCACATTCAAAGGTCTTCATCTAGTAGAAAGCAAGCTGATACATTAGACAGATAGCATACTTAATGTGTTGTTGCTAGCATACTTAACGTGCTGTTGCTAGCATACTTAACGTGCTGTTGCTAGCATACTCAATGTGCTGTTGCTAGCATACTTAACGTGCTGTTGCTAGCATACTCAATGTGCTGTTGCTAGCATACTTAACGTGCTGTTGCTAGCATACTTAACGTGCTGTTGCTAGCATACTTAACGTGCTGTTGCTAGCATACTTAACGTGCTGTTGCTAGCATACTTAACGTGCTGTTGCTAGCATACTTAACGTGCTGTTGCTAGCATACTTAACGTGCTGTTGCTAGTATATGTTGAATATTTGTTACTAGCAAGTTTAATGTGTTGTTAATTCTTGGCTTGCAATCACGTGACGCATAAACTTTCCATTTGACAAAGTGGTGTTGATATGTGGAGAAAATGCGACTCTTCCGAGTTTTTTTTTGCTTTTTTGGATATTTCATGACACTTTGAAGCTACTGTGGTGAACGTTCTAACTCATCATTCTAACAATATGCACAAGGCAGAATTTGTCCATGTTTTGGTAATATCAAGGTTGAAGCTACTGGCACTGCGGCAAATGCTAACATGCTAATAATGCTAATAAGACTCCATTCCTCCGCTGTATGTCACCAACATCCTGTAACGTCTTTGTTTATGCTGCCTCTACCATCGACAATAAAACATGTCTTCTGTCTGAACAGCCCATTTCAGAACAGGTACTTCCATATTGCCAGCCGTTTCTGATGGTTTTTACTGATTTTTAAAGACCCACAGAATATTGTGTACTATGACTATCTGAAACCCGACACCAGATTCTAAAAGAAAGGACGGTCTACTTTCCTCAGCAAAAAGAATTTTGTTTATAGCTTTTTTTGTTCCCCTGTAATCCTCCGTCGAGTAGAGGGAAGTTTTACTGAAATCACCGGAAACATGTGCACCTAACTGTTTTCAAACCATTCAGAGAGCAATGCTGCCACCTGCTGGCTCGATAAAATATGGTCTCAAGTCATCCCCATACATATTAGATACAATAGACATCTGGGAACGTGAAAATAGCGGAAAAGGCAATTGACGTATTAATGCGTCAATGGCACACGAAATTTCCGAAATGTGCTAAAAATAGTTCCAATGACTGCGCATGCGCGCATGTTTCGGACAAACTCTGTCCGACTCCGTTGAGTACTACTGTGTTCTCCACATAAGCGTGTGTATTTATTTGGGCTAAATCATTGAATCATGGTGACAACAAAACACTGCAGTTATGGTGCTTGTGGGAGCGATTTCAGATACTCTGAAAAGGACTATATGAAAGCAGTAACATTCAACCTGTTCGTTAAACCACACCATCGAACCAGACCAGGACCAGACCAGGACCAGACCAGGACAAGTGCAAGAGGTGGGTGCTTGTGGTCAGCAGAATTTCTCTCATGAAAATGTTAAAAAGGACATGTTTTTTCAAAACACTTCGCTGGACCAACTGTGGAGCCTCCAGATCCAGTCCTAGCTACGTTTAGCTGGGACTGGACCTGGACCGCTGTATCAGGTCCGTCTGAGCTCTTCTGAATGTAGTTAGCCCCATCAATCCAAATTAGTATTGTTTGTCCTAATCCAGAATGTATACAATTCTCACACCTGAAGAAAGATGAGAGGGATTTTTTCAACTTCGTGACTATCGGAAAATAAGCACAGACGAAGCGCGTCGGGGTCCGCTTATTATACGGCTTTGTACCAACTGAACACACAAAATAAACTTCTGTCACTATTCATGCCAAAAGGTTTATTTAATGAGTGCAAAGAAAATAGTTCCCAAAGGTTTTAGTTCACCTACTTTAAAAAAGCGATCGCTTTAGTCGCATTAAAAAAGTATTTTTGTCATGAAAACCTTAACAGATAATTCTGAAAACCTCTGTGCACGTGTGTTGTATGAATATTATATTCTAGCATTAACATTTAAATATGTTGATTGATTGTTGTTTGCGTTTACTGAGTGTGGCTCTGATAGTTTCTCTCAGAGACAGTAGTGGTGTAGCCCGTTGTGACCCCATGGATCTATTATAATATCGGCTGACTGTAGTTAACTAAATGATCAAACTAATTACGAAATGGACAGTACAAAAAACAACTTGATAAATGGAAGTTAATCAGAGCAAAATAAACAAAGAAGGCGCTAGCATTGCAGTTTAAATGACTAGATAATGTTAGCATAATCCTCACCATTACCTTTTTATCAAATCAAACTTTCTACCAGTTACTGGAAGACCACGACATTCAAGCCAACGTTTTAATTGGTCTACACTATGATCCCTGATGGTTTGATGGTGGAATTTTGCCCCTGGTTTATCATTTTCGTCTAAAGTGACAAGAGGTATTTGATTCATTTTGGCAGTGTTTGTCCGAAACATGTGGGCGGGAGTTGACAGGCGGCGGGGGCGTGGCCTAGTGACGTCATTCAGATAGTTCGCTATGGGACATAAGACAAGATCTGTCGTTTTCACTTTAGATTCTAACCCACAGCTAGTGTTACAAAGACATTGACAAGGACCAGCAACAAGGGGAGAGGAGCACAGGTACATGTATACACAGAGACACAGGTACATATAGACACAGAGAGACACAGGTACATGTGGACACAGAGCGACACAGGTACATGTAGACACGGAGACACAGGTACATGTAGACACAGAGAGACACAGGTACATGTAGACACAGAGACACAGGTACATGTAGACACAGAGCGACACAGGTACATATAGACACAGAGACACAGGTACATAAAGACACAGAGACACAGGTACATGTAGACACAGAGACACAAGTACATATAGACACAGAGACACAGGTACATGTAGACACAGAGACACAGGTACATGTAGACACAGAGACACAGGTACATGTAGACACAGAGCGACACAGGTACATATAGACACACAGAGACACAGGTACATAAAGACACAGAGACACAGGTACATGTAGACACAGAGACACAAGTACATATAGACACAGAGACACAGGTACATGTAGACACAGAGACACAAGTACATATAGACACAGAGACACAGGTACATGTAGACACAGAGACACAGGTACATATAGACACAGAGACACAGGTACATGTAGACACAGAGACACAGGTACATGTAGACACAGAGACACAGGTACATATAGACACAGAGACACAGGTACATATAGACACAGAGACACACGTACATGTAGACACAGAGACACAGGTACATGTAGACACAGAGACACAGGTACATATAGACACAGAGACACAGGTACATGTAGACACAGAGACACAGGTACATATAGACACAGAGAGACACAGGTACATGTAGACACAGAGCGACACAGGTACATATAGACACAGAGAGACACAGGTACATGTAGACACAGAGACACAGGTACATGTAGACACAGAGAGACACAGGTACATGTAGACACAGAGAGACACAGGTACATGTAGACACAGAGACACAGGTACATATAGACACAGAGACACAGGTACATGTAGACACAGAGACACAGGTACATATAGACACAGAGACACAGGTACATAAAGACACAGAGACACAGGTACATGTAGACACAGAGACACAGGTACATATAGACACAGAGAGACACAGGTACATGTAGACACAGAGCGACACAGGTACATATAGACACAGAGAGACACAGGTACATGTAGACACAGAGCGACACAGGTACATATAGACACAGAGACACACAGGTACATGCAGACACAGAGAGACACAGGTACATGTAGACACAGAGACACAGGTGCATGTAGACACGGAGACACAGGTACATATAGACACAGAGACACAGCTACATGTAGACACAGAGACACAGTTACATATAGACACAGAGAGACACAGGTACATATAGACACAGAGAGACACAGGTACATATAGACACAGAGACACAGGTACATGTAGACACAGAGACAGAGGTACATATAGACACAGAGACACAGCTACATGTAGACACAGAGACACAGTTACATATAGACACAGAGAGACACAGGTACATAGAGACACAGGTACATATAGACACAGAGCGATAGAGGTACATATAGACACAGGTACATATAGACACAGAGAGACACAGGTACATATAGACACAGAGAGACACAGGTACATATAGACACAGAGAGACACAGGTACATATAGACACAGAGAGACCTGAGTCCTGTCTTGCATCCGAGACATGTGAGAGCCATATGAACCAACTCGGACTCTGAGGAGCACAGGGACTGGCCTCCTGCTGGAACTTTGGGGAGCACAGGGACTGGCCTGCTCCTACAAATAACTATCTTGTTTTGTTCAGCACTTTGAGTTGCCTTGGAGTGGGGGGAGTCTGGTGTGCTCCTGTTTGGTTGGAATGAAAACCTGCAGCCTTACAGCCCTTTCTAGAACCAGTCTGACACCACTGAGTTCCCACATGGTGTCCCCTTGAAACCAGAGAGGAATGTACAAGAATTCCATCCAAGCGCCAAAACCCGGTCTCATAATAAGCGGACTGTGAGGGTTAATTCTACGTGTATTCTCTGTGGTCTTCTCTGTGGTCTTCTCTGTGGCCTTCTCTGCAGTCTTCTCTGCGGTATTTTCTGCGGTCTTCTCTGTGGTCTTCTCTGTAGTCTTCTCTGTAGTCTTCTCTGTGGTCTTCTCTGTGGTCTTCTCTGCGGTCTTCTCTGCGGTCTTCTCTGCGGTCTTCTCTGCGGTCTTCTCTGCGGTCTTCTCTGCGGTCTTCTCTGCGGTCTTCTCTGTGGTCTTCTCTGTGGTCTTCTCTGCGGTCTTCTCTGCGGTCTTCTCTGTGGTCTTCTCTGCGGTCTTCTCTGTGGTCTTCTCTGTGACCTTCTCTGCAGTCTTCTCTGCGGTATTCTCTGCGGTCTTCTCTGTGGTCTTCTCTGCAGTCTTCTCTGCGGTATTCTCTGCGGTCTTCTCTGTGGCCTTCTCTGCAGTCTTCTCTGCGGTATTCTCTGCGGTCTTCTCTGTGGTCTTCTCTGCGGTCTTCTCCGCAGAATTTTCTGCGGTCATCTCTGTGGTCTTCTCTGTGGTCTTCTCTGTGGTCTTCTCTGTGGTCTTCTCTGTGGTCTTCTCTGCGGTCTTCTCTGCGGTCTTATCTGTGGTCTTCTCTGTGGTTTTCTCTGTGGTCTTCTCTGTGGTCTTCTCTGCGGTCTTCTCTGTGGTCTGTGGTCTTCTCTGCGGTCTTCTCTGTGGTCTTCTCTACGGTCTTCTCTACGGTCTTCTCTGAGGTCTTTTCTGCGGTTTTTTCTGTGGTCTTCTCTGCGGTCTTCTCTGTGGTCTTCTCTGTGGTCTTCTCTGTGGTCTTCTCTGTGGTCTTCTCTGTGGTCTTCTCTGCGGTCTTCTCTGCGGTCTTCTTTGTGGTCTTTTCTGTGGTCTTCTCTGTGGTCTTCTCTGTAGTCTTCTCTGTGGTCTCCCTGTGGTCTTCTCAGCGGTCTTCTCCGTGGTCTTCTCTGTGGTCTTCCCTGTGGTCTTCTCAGCGGTCTTCTCTGTGGTCTTCTCTGTGGTCTTCTCTGCGGTCTTCTTTGCGGTCTTCTCGATGGTCTTCTCTGCGGTCTTCTCTGCGGTCTTCTCTGCGGTCTTCTCTATGGTCTTCCCTGTGGTCTTCTCTGCGGTCTTCTCTGTTGTCTTCTCTACGGTCTTTCCTGTGGTCTTCTCTGCGGTCTTCTCTGTGGTCTTCTCTACGTTCTTCCCTGTGGTCTTCTCTTTGGTCTTCTCTGCGGTCTTCTTTGTGGTCTTCTCTGTGGTCTTCTCTGTGGTCTTCTCTGTGGTCTTCTCTGTAGTCTTCTCTGTGGTCTTCTCAGCGGTCTTCTCTGTGGTCTTCTCTGTGGTCTTCCCTGTGGTCTTCTCAGCGGTCTTCTCTGTGGTCTTCTCTGTGGTCTTCTCTGCGGTCTTCTTTGCGGTCTTCTCTGTGGTCTTCTCTGCGGTCTTCTCTGCGGTCTTCTCTACGGTCTTCCCTGTGGTCTTCTCTGCGGTCTTCTCTGTTGTCTTCTCTACGGTCTTCCCTGTGGTCTTCTCTGCGGTCTTCTCTGTGGTCTTCTCTACGTTCTTCCCTGTGGTCTTCTCTGCGGCCTTCTCTGTGGTCTTCTCTACGGTCTTCCCTGTAGTCTTCTCTGCGGTCTTCTCTGTGGTCTTCTCTACGGTATTCCCTGTCTACGGTCTTCTCCGCGGTCTTCTCTGCGGTCTTCTCTGCGGTATTTTCTGCGGTCTTCTCTGCGGTCTTCTCTGCGGTATTTTCTGCGGTCTTCTCTGCGGTCTTCTCTGCGGTCTTCTCTGCGGTCTTCTCTGTGGTCTTCTCTACGGTCTTCTCTACGGTCTTCTCTGAGGTCTTTTCTGCGGTCTTTTCTGTGGTCTTCTCTGCGGTCTTCTCTGTGGTCTTCTCTGCGGTCTTCTCTATGGTCTTCCCTGTGGTCTTCTCTGCGGTCTTCTCTGTTCTCTTCTCTACGGTCTTCCCTGTGGTCTTCTCTGCGGTCTTCTCTACGTTCTTGCATAGACGTCGGAACTAGGGGTGCGGGGGGTGCGGCCGCACCCCCTCCGCGTGTGCCGGGAGCGAGAAGTTATCACTATCCTGCGTTCCTTGCAGCCCAAAACCCGCTCCATGCTGTCGGAGGTGCTTATGAAGCTCTGTCTGGCTAATATCTGTCGCAGCCTCTGAGCGCTCTTTCTCAGCCTTGCGCAGATTAAAGACCTGGCTACACCAGTGACGTGCGGTGGGGGATCAATCATTTGTTCATATGATTATACATCATATAAACCAACAGGACCTACAGGAACAGGAGCGGCTTATACACAATTTGTTTGGCTACAGCAGAATATGATTTAATGTCTGCATAGTTTTCTCATACAAAACGCAAACGTTTGTAAAAAGTACAAAGTGTGTTATGGGCCTTATACCTTAGGTATTAATGAACAGCACAGACCACTTCAGTTAGGACCAGTTTCATGTTTAAGTCCAGATAATAGTTTGAGCACAGACATGTAATCCTCCATTTGGAAATAAGTTCAATGAGTTTTAAAAAGTAAAAAAAAAACGGGTGTCTCCTCCGTAAACTGCGAGTTTTGCTGCAGCCGACTCCCGGGTAAATCCAATTTCTAAATTCAACCTTACCCTTCACCTCTTTTTCTTATGATTCATATCATCATTGGAAGCAAAACATTACTCTAAGTGCATTTTAAATTATCTTAAAATGTATTATAGGTATGTTAGCCAAACCTGTAGCTGCCCTTAGCAGAAGAAGAACAAGAAAGGAGCTTTCTGATGGAATTGGATGCAGCCAAAGTTTGGGCTCACAAGCGCCCCCTTGAGGCTTTCCTCACTTACAAGCTGTGGTTGAGCGCGATTAAGACCCATATTTGCTTCAAAAACACAATTTATGAGCCATCCTCTTAAATGTAAACATGTTGATTGTAAATTAAATATTTTTGAACTTTTTAAACTGTGATAAACAGAGAAAACAGTTTGATAGCACCTCACAGGACTCTCCCTGTGAGCTGTTGCTTTTTACGTCTCCCAAGAGAGGCTCGCCTCACAGCGCCGCTCTGTCAAATCTGCGATTTCAAGGTATAAATAAATTAAATAAGGCACAGCACAAATCACTTGATAAAGTGACCAAACATTATTGTATCTATTATATTACTTTTCTTTCTATGATCTTAGGTGAGGGCCTTACCTGCCTCATCTGACCGCACGTCACTGGGCTACACAACACAATGAAGCCACCGGAGAGACTGACGCATGAATGCGTATTGAAAAAAAAAAAGTTCAGTTTGATAAGTGACTTGCTTGATATATATTGTTTATTTTTCTTAACAATTAAGATGGTATGTTATTATCCAGTGTAATCCAAGTATGAGTCTCTCCCTCGACTCTCCCAACAAAAACCCGCCCCCCCTCTCAGAAAATAGTTCCGACGTCCATGCGTTCTTCCCTGTGGCCTTCTCTGTGGTCTTCTCTGTGGTCTTCTCTACGTTCTTCCCTGTGGTCTTCTCTGCGGCCTTCTCTGTGGTCTTCTCTACGGTCTTCCCTGTGGTCTTCTCTGCGGTCTTCTCTCGGTCTTCTCTGCGGTCTTCTCTGTGGTCTTCTCTGCGGTCTTCTCTGCGGTCTTTTCTGTGGTCTTCTCTGCAATCTTCTCTGCAGTCTTCTCTGCGGTCTTCTCTGCAGTCTTCTCTGCGGTCTTCTCTGCGGTCTTCTTTGTGGTCTTCTCTGTGGTCTTCTCTGTGGTCTTCTCTGTGGCCTTCTCTGCAGTCTTCTCTGCGGTCTTCTCTGTGGTCTTCTCTGCGGTCTTCTCTATGGTCTTCTCTGCTGTATTTTCCTGCGGTCTCCTCTGTGGTCTTCTCTGTGGCCTTCTCTGCAGTCTTCTCTGCGGTATTCTCTGCGGTCTTCTCTGCGGTATTCTCTGCGGTCTTCTCTGCGGTCTTCTCTGTGGCCTTCTCTGCAGTCTTCTTTGCAGTCTTCTCTGCGGTCTTCTCTACGGTCTTCTCTGTGGTCTTCTCTGTGGCCTTCTCTGCAGTCTTCTCTGCAGTCTTCTCTGCGGTCTTCTCTGTGGTCTTCTCTGCAGTCTTCTCTGCGTTCTTCTCTGCGGTATTTTCTGCGGTCTTCTCTGTGATCTTCTCTGTAGTCTTCTCTGCGGTCTTCTCTGCGGTATTTTCTGCGGTCTTCTCTGTGGTCTTCTCTACGTTCTTCCCTGTGGTCTTCTCTTTGGTCTTCTCTGCGGTCTTCTTTGTGGTCTTCTCTGTGGTCTTCTCTGTGGTCTTCTCTGTGGTCTTCTCTGTAGTCTTCTCTGTGGTCTTCCCTGTGGTCTTCTCTGTGGTCTTCTCTGTGGTCTTCCCTGTGGTCTTCTCAGCGGTCTTCTCTGTGGTCTTCTCTGTGGTCTTCTCTGCGGTCTTCTTTGCGGTCTTCTCTGTGGTCTTCTCTGCGGTCTTCTCTGCGGTCTTCTCTGCGGTCTTCTCTATGGTCTTCCCTGTGGTCTTCTCTGCGGTCTTCTCTGTTGTCTTCTCTACGGTCTTCCCTGTGGTCTTCTCTGCGGTCTTCTCTGTGGTCTTCTCTACGTTCTTCCCTGTGGTCTTCTCTGCGGCCTTCTCTGTGGTCTTCTCTACGGTCTTCCCTGTGGTCTTCTCTGCGGTGTTCTCTGTGGTCTTCTCTACGGTATTCCCTGTGGTCTTCTCTACGGTCTTCTCCGTGGTCTTCTCTGCGGTCTTCTCTGTGGTCTTCTCTGTGGCCTTCTCTGCAGTCTTCTCTGCGGTCTTCTCTGCGGTCTTCTCTGTGGTCTTCTCTGCGGTCTTCTCTGCGGTCTTCTCTGTGGTCTTCTCTGCGGTATTTTCTGCGGTTTTCTCTGCGGTCTTCTCTGCGGTCTTCTCTGCGGTCTTCTCTGTGGTCTTCTCTACGGTCTTCTCTACGGTCTTCTCTGAGGTCTTTTCTGCGGTCTTTTCTGTGGTCTTCTCTGCGGTCTTCTCTATGGTCTTCCCTGTGGTCTTCTCTGCGGTCTTCTCTGTTCTCTTCTCTACGGTCTTCCCTGTGGTCTTCTCTGCGGTCTTCTCTGTGGTCTTCTCTACGTTCTTCCCTGTGGCCTTCTCTGTGGTCTTCTCTGTGGTCTTCTCTACGTTCTTCCCTGTGGTCTTCTCTCGGTCTTCTCTGCGGTCTTCTCTGTGGTCTTCTCTGCGGTCTTCTCTGCGGTCTTTTCTGTGGCCTTCTCTGCAATCTTCTCTGCAGTCTTCTCTGCGGTCTTCTCTGCGGTCTTCTTTGTAGTCTTCTCTGTGGTCTTCTCTGTGGTCTTCTCTGTGGTCTTCTCTGTGGCCTTCTCTGCAGTCTTCTCTGCGGTCTTCTCTGTGGTCTTCTCTGCGGTCTTCTCTATGGTCTTCTCTGCTGTATTTTCCTGCGGTCTCCTCTGTGGTCTTCTCTGTGGCCTTCTCTGCAGTCTTCTCTGCGGTATTCTCTGCGGTCTTCTCTGCGGTCTTCTCTGTGGCCTTCTCTGCAGTCTTCTTTGCAGTCTTCTCTGCGGTCTTCTCTACGGTCTTCTCTGTGGTCTTCTCTGTGGCCTTCTCTGCAGTCTTCTCTGCAGTCTTCTCTGCGGTCTTCTCTGCGGTCTTCTCTGCGGTCTTCTCTGTGGTCTTCTCTGTGGTCTTCTCTGTGGTCTTTTCTACGTGTCATTCATCTGCTGCTTCTCATTGAGGCGGAGGATTAATGTGAGCGTGCACGGAGCAGGGTTTTTTACGGCTCTGTCGCTGAAATACGGCACCTGGAGCAGTACAGTTATTAGCCTTCGCTGCAGATCCGGAGACGATAGCACGCTCCGATCGGCTTCTGCACGCTTTGGATTTTTTGTCAGTCATTTCAGAGTTTAAAGATGTCGTTGTTTAAAGATGTCGTTGTTTCAGGTGTGTATCTGTGTGAAGGTGAAGAGAAGATACAAGGTTAGTTTTAGCCCCACTCTAGCCCTGACCTCTCACTGTAAAATCACCGATAAACACAGGTACCTTTGCTATCCTAGGTACCTTTGCTATCCTAGGTACCTTTGCTATCGCACTGATTCACATCCTGATAGATTGAGATATACATTTGAGATGGTATGTCTAATGGACGTCCCACTCTGGACTTGGAGTGACTGTGGCTCAGTTGGAGAGCATTGGTGTGTCCTTGGGCAAGACACTTAACCCCACTTTGCCTGAAGCCTTTGTAGAAATATCCGTGCTTCACAACAGAAGGTCCTGGGTTCGATTCCACCTCCAGACGGGTTAAAGCGGGTCTTTTTCTGTTCTGTGTTTTATTTGGATGCACTTCCTGTTGTTGATCACTTCCTGTTGTTGATTACTTCCTGTTGTTGATCACTGCCCCACCCCTGCCTCACCTGTGTCCTGGTGTGTATTAGTTTGTGTCCTCCTTGCCTCAGATTCTCGTGTTTCCTGGTGTTTGTAAATCTAGTCTGTTTTTGTGTTTTTTCCTGGACATTGAAACTCTGTTTTTGAGCCCCTTTTATACGATCCTGACACATTTAGGGTTTTTAATCCCGTTTAAAAAGTGGTGAAACTGGTGAATGTAAAAAAAACAGTAAATACTGAATTGCCATGACAACCAGCGCTCGCTCAGACCAGGACCAGACCAGAACCAGACCAAGACCAGGTCAGGACCAGACCAAGACTGGGTCAGGACCAGACCAGGACCAGACCAGAACCAGACCAGGACCAGACCAGAACCAGACCAGGACCAGACCAGGACCAGGTCAAAACCAGACCAGGACCAGAGGAAGACCAGACCAGGACCAGACCAGGGCCAGACCAAGACCAGGTCAGAACCAGACCAGGACCAGACCAAGACCAGGTCAGAACCAGACCAGGACCAGACCAAGACTAGACCAGATCCAGCTCAGAACCAGACCAGGACCAGACCAAGACCAGGTCAGAACCAGACCAGGACCAGACAAGAACCAGACCAGAACCAGGTCAGGACCAGGTCAGGACCAGACCAGAACCAGGTCAGGACCAGGTCAGGACCAGACCAGAACCAGAACAGGACCAGACCAGGACCAGACCAGCACCAGACCAGGACCAGACTAGAACCAGACCAGGACCAGACCAGGACCAGACCAGGACCAGACAAGGACCAGGACAAAAATATGGAAAAACCTATGTGAAAAAAATCAACAGAAAATGATTTTTGTTTAATCTTGATTTGATCGTTTCATAAAAACAAAGACATATTTACACTTCCACCTCTGAAAGCAGTCACATTGACTGCTCCAACAGGTCTAGTGTTAAAAGTTTACATTTAAGGAAGATATTTATGGCCTTAAAGCTCGGGTTTGTAACTTCACTTTCTATAGATAAATCTTTCGAGTCTTATCGTGTTTTTTGTTGGACACGGAATAAACAACACGACCACGATTCCCGGCCTTCACGTGGTTTTCCACCGAGGGAACGAGATAAGTGTTGACCTTCAGATAAACAAGTGGAAAAAGTATTTCTACTTTACTTCTACTTTTAGATCCTGTTGTAAAAACACAGCTCAGGTTTTACATAATTCCACTAAAAATCTCAAAGATCCACAAATGATTCATGAAAAAACAAACTCTGATAATTTGTTTACAACTAAAGAAAAACATGTCATATCGTTTTCTTACTTTTGTGAGTCTCTATTCAACACTCTGGGCTGAAAGCTGATTGGCTGAGAGAGGGTGGTCTCCTGTTTCTCACTTGTCTTCAGGTTGAGGAGCTCAGTCACACGGTAGGAGCTCGGAGTAGAGCCGCTGCTTCTCTACGTCGAGAGGAACCAGCTGAGGTGGCTCGGGCATCTGTTCCCGACGGCTCCTGGACTTCTCCCCGAGGAGGTGGTCCGGGTGGTCTCTGCTTAGACTGCTGCCCCTGCGACCCGGCACCGGATGAAGCAGAAGAAAATGGATGCAGTAATATACATAAGAGTGTATTTGTGGTGAAGTAGCTCCTTTTAAAGATAAACTTCAGGATCCAAAGATTGACGCTTTTTTATGGATTTAGCTAATTCTGTGAAAAATGAGGATTTCAGCGTTTCTGTCCAATCAGGAGGAGGCTCTGGCCACTGCTTCACAAACCTCCCTCCACACTGTTGTTTATGTTTATTCATTTAAAGCTTATAAACAGGAAGCAATTATAAAACATGACAGACACACATTTAAAGATGTCGAGAGCTCTGAAAGAAGTGGGAAGAACTCTAATTTAAAGCTCACACCCGATGAACCTTTATTCACCTTCTACGGTTGTACATACACACACACACATATAGACACACACACACACACACATACAGTATAGACACACACATATAGACACACATATAGACACACATATGGACACACACATATAGACACACATATAGACACACACATATAGACACACATATAGACACACATATAGACACACACATATAGACACACATATAGACACACACATATAGACACACACATATAGACACACACATATAGACACACATATAGACACACATATAGACACACACATATAGACACACATATAGACACACACATATAGACACACATATAGACACACACATATAGACACACACATATAGACACACATATAGACACACATATAGACACACATATAGACACACATATAGACACACACATATACACAGTACAGACTTAAAGTTTGGACGCCCTCTCTCCTTCACTGAGTTCTTTTCATGACTATTGCTGTAGACCCGCACCAGGCTGTGAAAGGGCTGTTTGACCAATAAGGAGAGAGACCGGACCTGAACCCAGTCCAGATGGTTTTGGACCTGAACCCAGTCCAGATGGTTTTGGACCTGAACCCAGTCCAGATGGTTTTGGGACTGGACCACAGAGTGCTAAGCATCATGGGAAGTCCTTCAAGACTGTTGAAGACCATTTCAGGTCCTGTTGAAGCTCATCCAGAGAATGCCAAGAGTGAAGCAGTATCGGAGCAAAAGGAGCTACTTTGAAGAACCAGAAATTAACACATATTTACACTTGGTTCATACTTTTTTACTACGAACATAATCCACATGAGTTCATTCATAGGTTTGAGGCCTTCAGTGTCAATCTACACTTTTCATAATCATGGAAATAAAGAAAACTGTTTGAATGAGGTGTGTCCAAACTTTTGGTCTGTACTGTATGAAAATGTAAATACGTACACATTTACATATACACACACACACACACGTACACACACACACACACACACGTACACACACACACACACGTACACACACACACGTACACGCACACACACATACGCACACACACACATACAGACATAGTAATAAATATTAATACATACACACATACTGTATACATATAGACACAAATACACACACACACACATACAGACACACACTTATAGATATAGCCTTACCATATGACTGCATACAGACATATACACAAATACACATCTACACACACGCACACACATTTTTCATTCTCTGAAGCCGATGTGTCAAAAGTTCCAGACATCCCCTTTAAAGTCAGCTTCAGTTGGAGTTTATTTAGTGCATACACAGCTGTCCCCGTCCCTTTAACTGCAGCTGCAGCGATTCCTTCAGTGGAAAAGAGGCAGATAAGGCGAAGGGCAAAAAAGGTTGTAAAAACACAAAGTTAAATATTAGCAAAAGGAAAGTTACACAAATAGCTCCTGGAATATGTAAACATAAACGAGCTAAAGCTAGCATGAGCGATGAGCCGGCCTCAAGGAGTACGGTGTTAGTATATTTACTCACAAGAGAACTAGTGTGACCTAAGTATATGTTAAAGGTACCACACTTTTTCGATAAAATAATTATACTTTTACTCTTGGAACAGTAAAATGTGGTGAAAAAATCAGCCCAAGAGAATTTTAGACATTTTTAGCCCTTGTTCTATCTCCACAGAATTGAAAGAAATTAAGATATACTCTATTTGTATGTTTTTTTAGCTGAATGTTGTTGTCCTGTGACCTTTAGACTCTTTTAGACCCTAATTTAGGCTACTTTTGATAATCTGTGGTGTGTTCAGACGATAGCACAAGGGCAAAGTTAAATGACTTAAAGAAGACGTGTTATGCTTTATATCTGGCAACTGAAAATGATCAAAGGCAAATATCGGCCAAAATGTTTAAAGGGCCCTAATCTGTCATCAATAAAAGGCCCTAATCTGTCATCATTAAAGGGCCCTAATCTGTCATCATCAAAGGGCCGTAATCTGTCATCATTAAAGTGCCCTAATCTGTCATCATTTAAGGGGCCTAATCTGTCATCATTAAAGGGCCCTAATCTGTCATCATTAAAGGGCCGTAATCTGTCATCATTAAAGGGCCCTAATCTGTCATCATTAAAGGTCCCTAATCTGTCATAATTAAAGGGCCCTAATCTGTCATCATCAAAGGGCCGTAATCTGTCATCATTAAAGTGCCCTAATCTGTCATCATTTAAGGGCCCTTATCTGTCATCATTAAAGGGCCCTAATCTGTCATCATTAAAGGGCCGTAATCTGTCATCATTAAAGGGCCCTAATCTGTCATCATTAAAGGGCCCTAATCTGTCATCATTAAAGGTCCCTAATCTGTCATAATTAAAGGGCCCTATTCTGTCATAATTAAAGGGCCCTAATCTGTCATAATTAAAGGGCCCTTATCTGTCATCATTAAAGTGCCCTAATCTGTCATCATTAAAGGGGCCTAATCTGTCATCATTAAAGGGGCCTAATCTGTCATCATTAAAAGGCCCGTAATCTGTCATCATTAAGGGCCCTTATCTGTCATCATTAAAGGGCCCTAATCTGTCATCATTAAAGGGCCGTAATCTGTCATCATTAAAGGGCCCTAATCTGTCATCATTAAAGGGCCCTAATCTGTCATCATTAAAGGGCCCTAATCTGTCATCATTAAAGGGCCGTAATCTGTCATCATTAAAGGGCTCTAATCTGTCATCATTAAAGGGCCCTAATCTGTCATCATTAAAAGGGCCCAAATCTGTCATCATTAACCAGCACTGTAAAACCTAACTGTGCTGCTGAATTAAACAATATAAGTGTACATGAATCAAAAGTGGTAAAAAGTTAACAACACTAAAATGTTTGTAGTGTTACAAACTCATTTTGCTATTTTGTGGTAATAACTCATATCATCCAAGTCAGATTATGATTTTGACCCTGTTTGATTAGAGACAACTCAAATTAACAGAGTTAATGTAACGCATCACGTTTGCTTGTGTTGTGTTGCAAACCTGCGCATGCGCGTCTCACGGCAGCCGAAGGAAAACTAAGATGGCGGATGTCCGCGAATTGTCTAAAAAGTTTATATACGAACGAATTAAGACACGGATGTCACATTTAATGCAATTTGAGGCGAGGTGTTGATGGTTTCATGTTGTGATATGTTGGTTTTAAGAGTAAGAGTTTCGTGTAAAGCTTGGTTTACGTTGTAAATGCTCCTGTCAATCACACTACGTATGATAGCAGCCCCCTTCTGACGTCGAAGCTAATCACAAACAGCTGAGGCAGTGCAGAGCCTTCTTGGCCATAGAGGACTACTGGTTTTGCGATCTATTTTACGGGTAAAAATGGGGTTTAGCGGGGGGATTATTTTTGGAGTTTGGAGTCCTTCCTTGGGAGCATTTTGTGTTTTTGTGACGTGACTTTCCAATGCGTAAGGATTACAGCGAATCCAGCGGAGGTGACCATCGTCTAATAATTCGGAGCAGCCTGATTTTCCCCAAGCCACGGCCTGTGTGGAACTCTGTTTGATGCTGTCAACACTCGAACCTGAAGTTAACATGTGAGTAGAACTGCCTACTTTTAAATGAACTATAGGATTATGAACACAACTGATAGCATACAGACACAAGGCTGTTAAATCTGCCAAAAAAGGTTTATTTTTAACCTCGTTGTGCGCCATGATTTAGCTCCGTTCGTTGCAAGTTGCATTTTATCTTTAGTGAGACAAACCCACGGATTAAATCTAAAAGCGATAAAGGTTTTGTAAGGTCTGATAACATGTTTTATGTATTATAAGATCTGGTTGTAATTGTGTATACGAGTTGGATGATTTGGACACGGCTGTACTGATTCCATTCTCGCGGGTTTTGTATTTTGACTAGGTTTTGGGCTGGAAAAATGTGCTGGCATCTGGCAACCCTGACACTGCAGCCACGAGAGCGGTGCGGTCTTCTTTCTTTCTCCGTGAGTATAATCGATGTCGTAGTTCATTTGAGAGGATTTTCATTTGAATAGAACATTAAGTAATTGTAAGCATTACACGCTATAATATTTAAAAAATGTTTTGCTTTCAAACATTCGTGTTTGCTGTGAAAATCCACAGGCCCGTTTCACGTTTTGCACTCCAGCGGCTAGCACGAAAGTTCTTTATGCCCAATTCAACTTAAGTTTATTGTCTGTTGAAAGAAATGTTGATTCCAGCTTGACCTCTGGAGAAAAACTGGTTATAAATTATATTTAACTGCATGCCTTTTGGGCATAAAGATTGAGAGCTAGGTTAGCTAACCTTGCGCACGTGGGTTTCCAGTTGTCTGTCTTACCACACACACGTGCTGAAATGTGGAAATGCAAATTGTGCCGTTTTTCAACCCAGATAAAATTACAATTAATGCGGCATTATAGATTGCAGCATGGCCAGATTTCGTCTATCTCTCCACTACCATGCTTGCATGAAAATTGTGTTTGCACGTTTAAGACATTTAATTCATTGAAAGTGCACATGTCATTATTGCACAATACAGCTAAAGGAAATGGCAAACAAACTGACAGAACGTCTGCATTTCAGTGTCCACTTTGTGAATTTAGACAACCATTTCATGAAAAGGACATGTTCCTTCACTTAAGGGGGCATTTAAAGAAGAAACAAATTGTTCCTTGTCCATTTAAAAACTGCAATTTCAAAACCAATGTGTACTCCTCATTTGGCTCGCACAAGACTCGAGATCATTGCAATTCTACAGAGTATGCCGTTGAGATCGTTGAGCAAAATGAGTTTGACATTCCTCATAATGATGACTATGAGCAGCAAGATATAGTTGTGCCTTGCATTAGTGAAAGATCTGAAGAGCTTAATAGTAACACGGATGAACTTGCAGAACAATTGGAGTACAATTTGGCTGCTTTTTTTTTGAAAATGCAAACTTTGCTCCATGTCTCTGACAGAGCGACGCTTGAAATCATTGAGCACTTTGAACACTTGTTTTCCCTGTCAGAGCCCATTCTCAAAGAGGCCGTTGTTAAAACACTGAAACGGCACAACTGCTCAGTGACAGATCCGCTGATCAGGGACATTTGTCAGGCAGTCTCAGAAAGTAATATTTTACATAAATCAATAACTAGTGAAGGTCCACTGTCTACTGCAAAGAGACGAAAGACTTATATTGAGCAGAGGTTTCTCAATGTTAAGCCTGTTGAATACTTAATTGATTCAACACCTCAAACTTGCATGTATGTCCCTATTCTGTCCTCTCTACAGGCCTTGCTGAAAAAAACAGATGTTCTTGAGAAGGTGCTGGAAACTACTTCAAGGAAGCCAGGTGTGTATTCCTCCCATGTTCATGGCTCTTTCTACCAGGAAAACACTCTCTTTGCAGAAGATGGTATTAAGATTGCATTGATTTTGTATGTAGACGATTTTGAAATTGCCAATCCCCTTGGAACATCAAGAAAAATGTACAAGAACTGTGCAGTGTATTGGTCATTGGCCAACTTGCCGGCAAAATATCGCTCTGCTTTGCACACAATCCAGCTTGCCTTGTTGTGCAATGCAAATGACGTTCAACAGTTTGGATTTGCAAAAGTGTTTGCTCCCATGTTGAGTGATTTAAAGATACTTGAGCAGGAAGGTATCTATGTGGAGGCACTAGGTAGCTCCATAAAAGGCACAATATTCTCTGTCGTTTCAGACAACCTTGCTGCACATGGTCTGGCAGGTTTCAATAAAAGTTTCAGATCAACATATTGTTGTCGATTTTGCCTTAGTAGCAGAGCTGACATGCAGACATTGGATGCAACTACAGAACAAAAGAACAGCATGACTGTCTAACACAACAAATGAGAAATGATGATTCTGAAAGTTTTGGTGTTAAAGACACATGTGTGTTGTCTGACCACTTGTCATTCTTTCATCCCATCACAGGATTCCCGCCAGATATCCTCCACGATCTCTTCGAAGGCGTAGTGCCGGTAGAACTGGCTCTTTGTTTGAAAGGTATGATTTCAAGAAAATACTTTTCATTTGAAGATTTGAATAAGGCTGTTTCAAATTTTCCATATCAGCATTCTGATAAAGTTGACCGGCCTCATCCAATCCCTCTGAGTTATTCATCTCGAGGAACAATTGGAGGAAATGGCCATGAGAACCACACTCTCTTACGTCTGCTTCCACTTATTATTGGCTCAATGGTTCCTGAAGGGGATGAATTTTGGGACATCTTAATGGAACTTAAAGATGTAGTTGAACTTGCTCTGTCTCAGCAGTTCACAGATGAATCCTTGCAGTACATGGCCTGTAAAATATCTGATCATAGGCAGCTACTTCAAAAGGTGTTTCCCAATCTACAATTAAGGCCTAAACACCACTTTATTGAACACTATCCTCATCTGGTTAAGTGCTTTGGGCCCCTTGTGCACCTTTGGACAATGCGATTCGAAGGGAAGCACAGGGTTTTCAAAAAAATTGTCCATGACACACAGAATTACAAGAATGTTCTGAAAACCTGGGCTGGCCGACACCAGGCAATGATGTCTTTTTACTTGTCGTCACCACGTTTTTTCAAACCCCAAGTGCAGACTTCCAAGGTTGAGTCTATCTTTGTAGATTCCCTGCCGGCTAATGTCCACACCCACATGTCAAGCCTTACAAAAGACACAAACATCCTGAGTGCTAAAGAGATCAGTGTTGAAGGCACTTCGTATGCAATTGGAATGTTTGTCTGTACAGGCACTCTAAGTGGTCTACCTGAATTTAAAGAAATAATGAACATTTTACTACTTGGTAGTGAAATTACTTTCATACTTAAAGACTTCAATGCATGGTATGTTGAGCACCTGCGCTCATTTGAGTTGACTGCTGACAAAGACGCGGGCCACACCGTTACACATGTGCATCAACTGAAGGATTCAATGCCTCTGTCTGCATATCGTGTGAGTGGCAAACTGATTATCACCCCTAAACATTTCCTATCCACCTGAATAAGAACATTTATGAGAAGGAAATCCAACCACTTAACATGTGAATTATATGCACGTCATGTTGTGACATAAATATTTGTTTTATTTCAGCTTGGAAACATGGACTCCTCGCTGCGGTTACGTGTTGTACTTGGGGCTGAAAATGCCGAAAAGTTCATTTTGCCTTCCTATCCAGAAACAGTCGATGATCTCATAAAAGAAATCATGACACGATTCAAGTTGACCTTTGACTTCAGACTACAATTTGAAGACCCGGACTTTGATGGGGCACTCTGCAATTTGGTAAACATCGAAGACCTCCCTTCCAAAGCAACAGTAAAAGTTGTAGCCAAAGCAGACCTTGATACCAGCTCATGTAGTACTGACGACTCCTCCATCCTTTCAGACAGCACAGACTCGTCTGATCGGAATTCTGGATGGCCATTTCACTTTGTTGTCCCCACATTCTCTTATGACGTGGAGCATATCTTAAGGGAAGGCAATGTTGCTTTTACAAATGAAGGGAAGAGTCAGCGGATTACTAAAGACCAGAAACATGTTATATTGGAATGCATGGCTGTTCAAATGTACAAACATAAAGCTTACCCAAGTAGTAAGCAGATAGCCATGGCAGCAGAAGCACTTGTGACCAAACACCCCTGCTTGGGTGAGAGAGGCTCCAGGACCGGCTATGATGGATGGAAAAACAGTCTGAGCTACAAGATGGGAAACTATCGCACCAAGTTAAGTCGCGCAGGAATAAAAGACGTCTCGATTAATGCAGGAAAGCGGAGTCGTCGTCGGCCAGAAGCCGAGCCATCAAGAGCAAACATTAAAAGGCCAAGACGAGGTGAAATAAACTTTCTCCCCAACTATCCTTCTGGGGAAAACAAGACGAGCTTGGAGGCCCATCGTCTTGAAATAATCGGAGAGTTTCAGAAGGTTTCCTCGGAGCGTGATGTGCCACTAATTTACCTTCTAATGCAGAAAACCTTTGCTCTCAGAAGAGAGGAAATAATAAACACAAACACTCCTATTTCGGAGCTGAAAAACCGATGGCCTGCCCTCTTCTGCGAGCCTCATGTAAGTGAAGTACATTTGATATAAATTAAACTAAAATTTGGCACACTACATTGTTTATTTGCTTTTGCTTTCTGATTGACACAGCTGTACAAGGAATTTCACCTCATAACAAACAAGAATTTGCAATTTACCTTCTTTGCTGCTTTGGATGAATGTGCAACAAAACTTCTCAGCTTGTACAGACAAAGAAGGTCCGGGCCATTCGGGGAGAAGCTTTCAAGTCTTCTCTTGGACTACAGTGAGCAGGTAAGCAACATCTATCTTACCCTTATACCACCATTACACTCTTAAACCACCCTTATTACACTCACACCCTCATTACTCTTGCACCCTCATTACACCCCGATTCCCTGATTATACCCTCATTACACCCCATATTACACCCCTCATTACATCCCCATCCCCTCATTACACCCCCATTATTCCCTCATTACTCCCCCATTATCCCCTCATTACACCCCCATTATCCCCCCATTACACACCCATTACACCCCCATTATCCCCTCATTACACCCCATTATTCCCTCATTACTCCCTCATTATTCCCTCATTACACCCCCATTATCCCCCCATTACACCCCCATTATCCCCTCATTACACCCCCATTATCCCCTCATTACACCCCCATTACACACCCATTATACCCCCATTATCCCCCCATTACACCCCCATTATTCCCTCATTACTCCCTCATTATTCCCTCATTACACCCTCATTACACCCCATTACCCCCCCATTACACCCTCATTACACACCCATTACACCCCCATTATCCCCTCATTACACCCCCATTATCCCCTCATTACACCCCCATTACACCCCCATTACACACCCATTACACCCCCATTACACCCCCATTATCCCCTCATTACAACCCCCATTACACCCTCATTACACACCCATTACACCCCCATTATCCCCCCATTACACCCCCATTATCCCCTCATTACACCCCCATTACACACCCATTACCCCCCCATTACACCCCCATTATCCCCTCATTACACCCCCATTACACACCCATTACACCATTACAACCCCATTACACACCCACCCCATTATTACCCCCCATTACACCCCCATTATCCCCTCATTTACACCCCCTCCCCCATTATCCCCCCCATTTGCCCCCCCCCTTATATCCCCCCATTACATTACATCCCCCCCATTACACCCCCATTACACACCCATTACACCCCCATTATCCCCCCATTACACCCCCATTATTCCCTCATTACTCCCTCATTATTCCCTCATTACACCCTCATTACACCCCATTACCCCCCCATTACACCCTCATTACACACCCATTACACCCCCATTATCCCCTCATTACACCCCCATTATCCCCTCATTACACCCCCATTATCCCCTCATTACACCCTCATTACACCCCCATTATCCCATCATTACACCCCCATTACACCCCCATTACACCCTCATTACACACCCATTACACACCCATTACACCCCCATTACACCCCCATTATCCCCTCATTACACACCCCCATTACACCCTCATTACACCCCCATTATCCCCCCATTACACCCCCATCCCCTCATTACACCCCCATTACACCCCCATTATCCCCTCATTACACCCTCATTACACCCCCATTATCCCATCATTACACCCCCATTACACCCCCATTACACACCCATTACACCCCCATTATCCCCTCATTACACCCCCATTACACCCTCATTACACACCCATTACACACCCATTACACCCCCATTACACCCCCATTATCCCCCCATTACACCCCCATCCCCTCATTACATTACACCCCCATCCCTCATTACATTACACCCCCATCCCCTCACTACAACCCCCATCCTACCCTCACTACACCCCCAGTACACCTAAATCCTCACTACCCCTTCACTACACCTGTGTACACCCATTGAAAATTGAATGTTATGAATTGAAATGTGCTGAAACCTTGTGGAAGAAAAATAAGAGACCCAATAGACTGCACAGACATATGCTGTCACAAAGTAAAATGTTTTTTTTATCCCTAATGCACATAGGACAAGAATGACGTACAAAAAACAAGAACTGCAGTCTTGTTTGGACTACCCCTGTATTTAAAAGAAGACCCAAGCCAGATATTTCGAACTTGTAAGGTAAGTGTTGTGAGCCACTTCACCATTATTGTATGTCTTTTTTAACTTCATTAGATGCAAATGGTGATACCCAAAAACGTTTGTTTTTTATCTTCAATTAGATTAACAAAGCCAATGTGATTTATCTTGTTGTGGTCTTTGAATGTTTTTTAATAAGTTATCTTGACAATAATTGAATTTTCAAAATGATCCTTTAGCTAATCCTTAAATGAGGAAGTAGTTTTTCATTATTTATTGAATGAAAGCCCAACTTTGAGCTTTTTTGAATCGATACATGGGAGAGTCTGAAAACTGGAAGGGCTGCATTTGCTTAATCTTGGATCTACATGGTTCTCATTGTATGTCTTTTTGTTTCATTTAAGGAGGAGGAACTTGATGGCAGCAAAGATGGGACGGTTGCCCTGGTTGCTGTCACTGGAGATGCTGCGACTCCTTGGTCCGCCCAGCAGGTGGCCATCGTGTTGGAGGACCAGATCGTCTCAACTCACCGTTGCTGGGTGGATGCACTGGTTATCCTCTTCGGCCTAATATATGCACTACACCTGGAGTACCCACAGAAAGTAAAGGGCTTCTTTGACTTTCTCCAAATGATCCTCCTCAACTTGGATGAGGGGCGGATGCAACTTTCCCCAAAATTGCAGACACTGAAAAATGAACTGGACAATGAGTAACACCAATTAACTATTCTTACACCCTCATTACTCTTACACCCCCATAAAACTATCTAGTAATTTCTGAAAGTGAAGTGATGTTGTCCATGTCGATTATTGGAAGTTTGTTAATGTCAATGATTGACTGATTTTTGCCCTCACTTGTTTTTTGAGGAAGTTGAATAAAGTTTTTGCCTGCCTGTGTGTGTAGAGTATTTAAGCTGTGTGTGTGTGTGTATGCCTGTGTGTATGTATGCTTGTGTGTCTGTGTGTGTATGTGTACTGTGCGTGTGTGTGTGTGTGTGTAAGTAGAGTTTGTGTATGCTTGTGTTTCTGTGTGTGTGTGTGTGTATGCCTGTGTGTCTGTGTGTGTGTGTGTGTGTGTGTGTGTGTGTGTGTGTCTGTGTGTGTATGTGTATGTGTGTGTGTGTGTGTATGCCTGTGTGTGTGTGTATGCTTGTGTCTCTGTGTGTGTGTGTGTGTGTATGCTTGTGTGTGTGTGTGTGTATGTGTGTATGCCTGTGTGTGTGTATGCTTGTGTGTGTATATGTGTGTGTGTGTGTGTGTGTGTGTATGCCTGTGTGTGTGTATGCCTGTGTGTGTGTGCTGGTGTGTGTGTGTGTGTGTGTGTGTATGCTTGTGTGTGTGTGTGTGTGTGTGTGTGTGTATGCTTGTGTGTGTGTGTGTGTATGCCTGTGTGTGTGTGTGTGTATGCTTGTGTGTGTGTGTGTGTATGCTTGTGTGTGTGTGTGCGTGTGTGTGTGTGTGTGTGTGTGTGTGTTGCCTGTGTGTGTGTGTGTGTGTGTATGCCTGTGTGTCTGTGTGTGTGTGTGTGTGTGTGTATGCCTGTGTGTGTGTGTGTGTGTATGCCTGTGTGTCTGTGTGTGTGTGTGTGTGTGTGTATGCCTGTGTGTGTGTGTGCGTGTGTGTATGCCTGTGTGTGTGTGTGTGTGTGTGTATGCCTGTGTGTCTGTGTGTGTGTGTGTGTGTGTGTGTGTGTGTGTGTTATGCCCGTGTGTGTGTGTATGCTTGTGTGTGTGTGTGTGTGTGTGTATGCCTGTGTGTGTGTGTGTGTGTGTGTATGCCTGTGTGTCTGTGTGTGTGTGTGTGTGTGTGTGTATGCCCGTGTGTGTGTGTATGCCCGTGTGTGTGTGTATGCTTGTGTGTGTGTGTGTGTGTGTATGCCTGTGTATGTGTGTGTGTGTGTGTGTATGCCTGTGTGTGTGTATGCTTGTGTGTGTGTGTATGTGTGTGTCTCTGTGTGTGTGTGTGTGTGTGTGTATGCTTGTGTGTGTGTATGCCTGTGTGTGTGTGTGTGTGTGTGTGAGAGAATGATTAGCAGTGGTCAGAGGGTTCATCCTCCTGCACTGGTTGCCTCGCTTCCATCAGTCAGCGTTTTTTAAGCAAACCAAAAAAATCTCTGTAAAAATATGCCGCCTCTGAAGCTCTGCTCTTAATAACACAAGACCTCCTCCTCCAGTGTATAAGGGGCCAGAGCACTTTGACCCGGCTCCGTGGACATCCACACTCTGGCAGACCCCAGCAGGAGGCTCACAGCTGGGGGCCCTGCTGCCAATTCTCATTTGGAGGTGTCATGGTTCAGTCCCATCAGGACGTCAACAGGAGCTCATTAAGTCCACACAGAGGTGCAGCAGGGGCCCGCTCACGGTGGCAGGTGGCTGAGTGGTTAGCACGCTTCTCAGCAAGAAGGTCCTGGGTTCGAATCCCGGTCGGAACAGGGTTAGGGTTTCTAAGTGGAGTTTGCATGTTCTCCCCGTGTCTGCTCCGGTTTCCCCTACCACTAAAAACATCCACAATAGGTCTGAATGTAAATGAGAGAGTGAATGATGGTGTTGGAGCTGATGGTCCAGTGTGTTCTGGACTCGCTTCTGTCATCACCGTGTGTGGAAGGATTGGAACAATATCTGACTCTGAACATTGGAAAGTGCTTTGGGTCTGTACCTTGGTCTGTAACATGTGCTATATAAATAAACATTACTTACTTACTCTTCTTTGCCGAACACTTTTGGGGCAGAGTGCACGACGTTCACGGTGTATTTACATGTTTTATGAACTCAGAACAATAACATTTACATTACCTCATTTGCATGGCCGTTCGACTGCACAACGCTTTGACCTTGCCACGAGATTCTTTTAACCCTTTTAACAGTTAAGATTATTTTTATTATATTTTATCAACTTATTTATTATGTGTCTGTGAGTGTGTGAATGAGAGCAGCCGGCACCGCTGTAATTTCCTTTCGAGATCAATAAAGTTTATCTAATATTATCCAATCAATACAGCTCAAACTTTTGCACATTTTGTCAGATTATACGATCATAAATATAAAGATTTAAAAGGCACTGTATACATATATATTATTTTACAACCAAACACAGAGCTATATCCAATCATTTATACATAATTTAAATCGTTTCCTTTTCATGATCATTTTTGACCATCTGGGCCCGTTTTACTTTACTGTGTAGGTATTTAAACATATTTAAACATACAGACAGTGGCACAACTACAACTGTCAGTAAGTTGCTCAACGTTTATTTTATTCAATCATTTCAGATTTTTATCGAGATTCCAAATGTATAGTACCATCTGACTATCAACTATGAGTATCGTGTCTAACGTGGAATAAGTTTGGAGCATTATGAGGCAGAGTGTGGTGATCTTTGTGTTAACGTTGAATCTGGCCGGTGAGATATTTCTCCACAGTTGCTCGTGTGGGACAAGTGTGGCCGTCTGTGGCTCAGAATGAAAGCTATGATAGGAGTTTGAAAAGGAAGTTGGACCGTTGTTCTATTTTTAGCAGTGGTTATTTGCGTCTACTTTACTGTACTGTGGAGGAAACTGAATTATCAACCTCTGCTCATTTGTTTTATGCAGACTTTGGTGAATCACGCTGGTGTTTGCTCTTCCGTTTGTACCGTTATGTGACCGTGCGGATATTTATCTTGTACATTCTATATGCAGTTAACAGAGAAAACGGACACAAGTGAAGACAGAAGCATGTGACACGGCGACAAGACAAAAGGCTTTGGAAATGTGGTTTTTCTAACTGGCACATATTTTAAGAACATATCACAAATATTTTGATATTTTGCAAAAGAAATGATGACTGTAGTGTTTCATCCTCAAAGTCTATATATTTTTTACATTTATTTTCAAGGGACTTTTTAAAATCTTGGTATTTTGTACACAGCAAGATACCCTGACCCTAATCCTAACCCTAACGCTAACCCTAACGCTAACCCTAACGCTAACCCTAACCCCATGCTATATCTAACCTGAGTGTGATATAAATTCACAAAAAGCAAAGCAAGAAAGTTGGAATACTTCCCTCATCTTAGAATGAAATACCAAGATTTTGTGAGTCCCTGAAACTCAACTGATACTAAAAAAACTGAGATACTTAAGGAGAATGAGGAGCTGGGATTGTGGACAAAAACATTGCTTGCTGTATTTAGTTTTGTTGCCGGTGTTGCTGCTTTAAACTAACACTAGCTAACACTGGCATATTTAATTTTGATCCACTCCACGGCGCCGAGCTAAACCGTCTGAACAAATGCCCATATAAGGAAAACTGGCTCCAGCTCGCTCATGTTCAAATCGTGACTTCAGCGCTCGGATTGTCCATTCCTAATACTCGTTTATGTGAAATACCAAGATTAGAAGCTATTGCCACTGCAAAAAGCTAGCCTGACTCTTGCCAGACCCTTGTAGTTCCGCCGTGCTCCACCAGAGGCGTTTGGCTGAGAGCACTACACGGGTCTGGCGAGAGTCAGGCTAGCAAAAAGTAGCTCCAAAAAACAAAACAAAAAGCTGTTATTAGAGGAAAAGTGGTTTAGGCTTACTTCCTGTTTTCTTTTGTAGTTTGTTATTGTCATTGTCATTCCTCGTCTGTTTCAGTTCGATCCTTGGTCCCTGTGTTTTCGATGGATTTTTATTTGTCATGCTTTTTATTAAATCCGTTTTTTTGCAGTTCTGCGTTTTGGGCTCATTTCATTTGACCCTTGTAACAGTTTCATGCACAAATATTTGCCAGTAGATCAGGATTTTCCACTTGTTTAGTTTCTTGAAATGAGAAAAAAACAATAATAATAACATTTAATATAATCTTAAGTATCTTCAGCCTGCATGAATTAAAAAGTCAAAATAAAAAACGTTGGGATTAGATAAACTGAAATCAAGTCTGTATTTTCACTTTTTGCAGTGTTCTTTTTTTCACTGAAGGACTTTTTGCGTCATTGGGGACAAAGTGCTCAAAGTGTTGCTTCTAACGGGAAACTTAAACTCATTAAAGTAATATTTGACATTTGGGTTTTGTAAAATGAACTCCATTCTGACTCTATCATGTCTAGAGCAGCACTATCTATAATGTCCCCACTGTGTAAAGCTTCTCTACGGGTTTTCGACTGAGGATTAATGAAGCCTGATATCGCTGCAATTAATATTCTGTATCTTCTGAGTGGAGAAAAGTCCTGAGAATGTTAAGGAAACGAAGCCCGGCGTCTGTGACCAGAGTCAGTCACGTTCACAGGCCACCGCTGGTTCTGGAGGAAAGCCTTTGTGACAGCTGACCTTTGGATCCAAGTCCTGTCCACCTTTGGAAAGTGCAGAGTGACCTATGGGCCGCCGTGAATCTTACACAAACTGTTCATTTCATCACAACTGGGACCAAATCACAGCGCGCAATATGCTCTGAAACGTCGGGGCCTCGGGGAAAGAAATACAAAAAGGTTCAATTCTACAAAGCTAAAGTAAAACAAATAAAACAACTTTTAGACAATATTTTAACTCTCCTTTCCTTGATTCTGTTCAATAGAAAATTAAATATGCAACAGATTCATGTTTTTATCGAGGTTTTTTGTCACACAATAAAATATTCTAGTTTTGGCCGCAGCAGCGATGAGGCAATATTTTTAAACAATACTTTTTTATATCTTAGCCTGGATTTCACAGTTTTTTTCTTCAGAATGGCTTCATCTCATGCATACATGAGATGAAG